TACATAGACGGTGCATGACATGGACGCCGAAACTGGCTGCAAAATCCAGCCGAGAGTGTCCAAATAATTGCTATCACAATAATATACCAGTTTGCAGTTTTATAGAGTGTCCGTGAAAGACCGTTTTGCAATACCGGATCAGTGGAGCCCAGCAGCAACAACGCTGGTAGCGACATTTTTTGGGAACTTTCTGTATATGCATGTACGTAGAGCTGCTGCTAAGCTACATTAGGCTGCTATTACTTTTCTTATTCTCGTTATCTGCCAGTGTGAACCATTCGTTACACTTATGCTGAACAACGTACAATTTCATTCCGTGAGAGAACATGCGCATTTCAGAAACCCCTAAGACCTACTTTATTGTAACGTGGTGGTGACTATGAAGAAAGCGGCAGTCACTCTAGTAGAATTGAAACTTACTTTATAGATAACTTGCGCCCGTAAAACTAACAAACTCAAAGTAAAAGCAAAGCGCGCTGCGCTCTGATAGCGGCAAAAGCTGTCATCGGCCTTCGATGAACTTATCATCAGCAGAATGCGGTTTGTATTTATACAGCAGTGATCACACATTCCAGCGTTGTCACTAGTGCACCCGAAAGCTCGCAAATTAAAGAGGATATGCGTACTGCACATAGTATGAATATTATTTGTGGAGTCTTTGTGCCCTAAAACTGCTCCGCTACGGTGGTCTAGTGACGAAGGTACTCGGTTGCTGACCCGCAGGTCGCGGAATCCTATCCCGGCAGCGGCAGCTGCATTTCCGATGGAGGCGGTAATGTTGTAGGCCCGTTTGCTTAGATTTGGGTGCGCGGCAAAGAAATTCAGGTGGTGAAAATTTTTGAACACCTCCACTACGGCGTCTCTCATAATCATATGGTGGTTTTGGGACGTTGAATCCCACATATGAATGATATGCCCTAAACTACGATATAATTATAAGGAACGCAGAAGTGGTGGACCCTAGAAATTGTGACCATGTGGTGTTTTTTAACATACACAATCAAATATAAGTGTACGTGCGCCTTTAGCATTTCACCCCCAGTGACATGCGGCTGCTGCAGCAGGATATGCGTGTAATCTTAGCAAAACAGTCTGAGACAACGTCGAAGTTTAGAATCATTGCTGGGGGCTTCTGCCGAGCAGTCGCAAGTTTGTGACATAGAAGAAATCACGCCAAAATGAAGTAATACTCTACAAAAAATGAGATTTTGCGGCACTAGAGCTGCCCAAATCATCCCGGGGCAACGCCGCTCTTGAGACGAATGATGCCCACAGTTCTGATTACTTGGTAATTAGTAATAGTAAGAAAAAACAGTGGGAAAATAGAAAACAAAACAATAATATGACTAAAACGTAAAAGCCGTTTTGTTTGAAGGACTCGTAGGGAATAAGTTAAGACGCACGATTGAGGTAGCACTTGTGCTAGCTATGACAATTAAACATGTGGTAACACTTTAACGGATAAGGTCAGCGAATAAAATCCTCAATGCGTATGGCAAACTGCCTGAGATGGCTTGTCGGGACGTTCATAGGAAAAACAAACTATGTTACATAATGTTTTTCGAGTCCACTTTGCAAGTTGTTGAAGAATGCTCTTTATTAATTCCACTATTATAAGGCAAGTTCAATTTGCTCACTTCACCAAGCAGCAAGTAGAATGTTTATTGCTATTCTCAGCGCACGCCCACATTATGGCATATTTGTTTGCCAAATCACTGTGGCAGAAAAGCTAATTCAGTTTAATATAAATGCGCAAGTATATTAGCAACAATAAAGCAAATAAAGTCAAGAATAAAATAGAGAACTTGTTTTGGCTGCACTTTACAAAAAGCATCTTACATTCACGAGACCAAGAAGAAAAAGTTCAGAGCCTCTGATTTATGGGATGCAAGAGAAAGACAACTCAGAATTCACTTGTGCTTACAATAACATGATAATTTCAAGAGCTCTCAGAGTAGAAACAGCAGAATGAAAACTGCGTGGTACACTAATATGTCGCCTGACAGGAAGCGCCTGTTCTATCAGATACAGCGCATGAGTACCGATGCTGCTTCGGTCCACGCTGGGGAGTGCCATCAGAATATGTGCAGTGCATCACCACACACATTGTGGTACGCGGCGCTTGAAGGTGGATAACGGTTAGTGTCATGGCTGGGAGAAAGCTTAAAAAAGAATAAGTCTCGGAAACAAAAGACACGTGTGCCAGCGTGCCAACTGACCTTCTGTTGAGAAGTGTGGCAGCTAGGGCTAGTTTGTATGGCATGACGATAGTTATAGCGCGAGAAGAAAACGACGACACAGAACCTTCGTGTCTTTCTTGTCTCTGTGTCGTCGTTTTGTTCTCGTGCTATAACATTCTTCTGTTGAGACTGCGGGGGCTCTGTCGCGCACCTCATCCCCCACCCTGACTAGTGGAGTCGTGCGAAAAAAATATATCACTGCGATTAGTTTTATTCAGGTGGCGTAGTAGCACCAGCACCAGCGTGTGAAGTAGAGTTCAGTGAGCGATTATTGTTTCGCATGGTATGGGGTTGCACCAGTGGAATATTGTATTTTGAGATACACGAGTCGTTATCGAATGTAACCGAAATACATAGAGATACTCGTCTTGCGGGGCATATCACGATACAAATACAGTATAAAAGGTAGTATCTCAGATACATGTATCTTCGATACTACCTAGCCCTGGTAGCGAGAAACCTCGTGTTTTCAGTACTTTAGTGTGGCACAGTTCCAATATGGCAGTGCCTCTCAGTAAATGCGTGGCCTTGAGCATTAACAAATGCATCGCCAATCATTCGAGATTTTACAGAGAAACCTATGCGCGAACGCCTAGAAAGCAGTGTACATTGCCTGGTCCACGTGATTGAATTGTGGCCACTTTTCCGGGATGCGTCCAGGATAAACAACACACACAAACACACACACATGCACACGCACGCACCCACTGACCTGGACTCTAAAGAAAAGCTCACATGTGAACAGCTGCAGCATAACTTTCACCTTTTTTGAGTGAGAGTGCGGGAGGGGGATCCACAACTAACCGGGGTCACATGACTACAGTCCACCCAGTGAAAGGCTTGTTTCGTTGAGCTGGCGTGTGAACAGGATGACTATGACGTTACCTGCTACGACACCACTCGGATTCAAACCTGGCGCCTGCCCACTAGTCGCGGCAGCTTTTCAGCACAATTGCTGGGTGACTGTAACGACATTTTATCAGCCTTAATTTTTTACGAGTGTGCTGGTAATAAAAAAGCTCACCACCCAAGTACAGCGTACAAATGGTCACGTGAAAGCTGAAACGTGTGGCCTAGGTGTTTGGCAGTGGGTTCACCTCGACGCTGCATTGAATGAAGCCTTTCACAATTATTGGTTACACGTTCGTACTTCCTAATGAGGTTAGGCACATGTTTGGATTGAGCTTACTACAGTGTTTATTTCACATGGCGCACATTGTGCCTCACATGATAACAGTCGTGGAGAAGTGTAATGAGTGGTTAAACGAATTTTTTCATGTATTCATCACAGTGGTTGTTTTCGAACTACAAGTGTTCACAGACGTCACAGCCGAAGCCAGGAGAAACTCCCGCCTAAAGCGGGCGTTCGTCCCGGCGAATGCTCTCCTAGAATCGTCACCTTAATGCTGTCGTGCCAGCACCGGCGCTTGTTCGGTGCGGCGTAGTTGCGAACGTTTAACTTCGCTAGGTAACTCAACGGCATGATTTGCAGGATCCACCCGCCATTGGTGCTTGTATCCCGTTCGTGCTTTAGAGCGGCTTGGGAGGCTGCGGGATCATCAGTACGCAGTTCCTGTTGGCACTTGGCCTCACATGCCTGTTTTCGTGTATGAACTGCAGCATCGGTAAAGCTATTCCAAGCTTTCTCACGTTTCTAGTGTCAGCGCTCTTCTAGAGTGGTCAGTGGCTTACCCATGTGGAAGGTCTCAGTAATAACTGATGCGTGCGTGCTTGGCGCCCTGGCTCCGATGGGATGGACGACGACGTCACTCACAACGCAGCCAATGGCACGCGTACTTGGGTACGACGCTCAGAACAACACAACTGATAGGACAGTCAATAGAGGCCACTCGTGACACCACTGCCGAACAGTTTCTCGTTTCTTCTGGCCATATACAGCTTCCGCTGTAAAGAAGAAAATATCTTTGTGCAGCGGAACACAAGCGACATGATTTACCGTTGTACATGACCGAATAGAACACCTGCGCCCTCTGTCATTACATACATTCTATGACTCATAAAAATTTCTCCGGAAGATCAGCGCGTTGACGAAAAAAATTGAAAGTCTTAATGGATTCCGAAAGCGAAATTCTTGGACTTATCACTGGGTAAGGTTAGCGCTGGTTCAACATACCAATAGAAAAAGATGGTGAATTGAAAATCATGAATTAGCGCTAATCTATCTTAATAGACAAGACACCCGAGCAGGTGAACGATATATCGAACAGTTTTATAGACATATATAGGAAAAAGCGGTGAATAGACTATCTGACTTTTCTTCTTTTTTCTCTTTAATTTTTTCCGTTATTGTTGCACATATGTACTCACTTTATTGTATGCGTGTTTCGCTATAAATAAAATAAATATTCTTTTCAGAGAAGGAGAAGGAGACAGAAAGCTCATCCTGTGTGCTTCCAAATGAACCACAGAAGAAGGACACGTTTACTGTGGTGTTTGAAGTATTACAAGAAGCCCGCCGCGGGTGGTCTATCGGTCGTGGTACTTGATTGCTGAGCTTAACGTTGCGGGATAGAATCCTTGTCGTGGCAGCCGCATTTAGATGCAGGTGGCTTAATATCGTGGTTTGGGTATTTGAGACCTCTGTGATTCTTTTTATTAAACTAACAATATCATCATAACTCTACATATTCTTATTATGAATATGATTATTATTATATAACTAGTAATATTACTATTATTATAAATATAATATTTTTTCTCATATCGGCTTGCTTTTCGTTTCTCCTTCTCGCCCGGCAGGAAGGCGCATGGATTTGGGTGGCCAATGGTCAGCGGCTGCGCACCACGCAGTTCTGGCGTCCGGGAGCTCCGGATAATGCGAACGACGGGGAACACTGCGCCCAGCTGAGCAACGAGATCGACTTCGGCTGGGACGACGTGGCCTGCTCCACGGAGGCCCACTACTTCTGTCAGTTGCCTCATCCGAACTGACGCCTCTGTCGAAATGGACCGCACTTTTTGAATGTCCACCTCCACATCACCCGCGGGCGGTATATATATGGGTGCAATAAATGGTCTCGTTCACCATATAAACCATTTATCCGTGCTTCCATATACATACGTATTTTCATCTATATATACTTTTGCGTTGATAACATAGGCAGATAGGTAAATGGCATATCATAAGTGACATCTAATAGTACGCAAATGCATTTCACAGGAAGTATTAGGCTCCTTTGAGAAAAGAAGAAAAACTTCTTTGTGCATACTTGCATATGTCGATAGGGGCAACGTCAGTGGAATGGCGCATATTTTAAGAGAGACAGAAAAGGCATGACAGGGTAGCATTTCGGTAATGCTATATTTGATGTTGGAGCTTCTAAATTCATAATGTTCAACGGACGGGCCAACAAGCCTAAGCTGTCCCCCTTATGTTTGTGGAGTAACCCTGCCAATATCTCGTATTGTTTTGGACGCTACTCTGCGTGTGCTACAAGTTGATCTTGGTGGTGACAAAAGCAGAGAAAGTTTGGAATGAATGAAGGAACGAAAATAACGAAATGATGGCCTTCTCATCGCCTCGTCTGGTTTCATACTGTTTGGGTTAAAGATTGGCAGTAAAAGGTTACAAAAATGCAGCATCAACAGCACAAAGGCAGCGTCGTCATAGAACCCTGCTTAACGTTGGGATGGGTCATGCTAAGAAAGCGCACGGAGCAGAGAGCACCCCCTCTAATCTTAGATGTTGATAGGGGGTGTCCCCTTTCATTCCAGACACACACACTCACACGCCCACCCCCTTCCTCATTTGCACGCGTCTGTGCATTGGAACTTATGCAAGATGCGAGGCTATAGTTGATTGTTTAGTTGTCGCTCCAGATACGTAAACCACGCATGGACATACTGTACTTCCAGGCCAATCACCCCTTCAGTTTCGGGTAACCTCATAGCTAATAATCGAAACGAAAACGCTTCTGCAAAACCAGGCGATCCCATGGATTTACGATATCAAGAAAGTGTAGAATTTCGCAAGTTGCGTCGCAGCTCACACTCTCTCATATTCCGGGAGGGACACGATTATGCATTAACATAGCGTAAAGGGCGAGCTGTCATTGGTGCCTGTAATTTCGTACACGGGCGCTTCTTCATAAACTACTGACAACATTCGACGCTGCTCTGACAACGAAAATGCAGTATTTGCACAGGCAGCGTGACATAGCATAACGCTACCATATTCTCCCCGCTGGTGGCACAGTCAGTTTTGCTTTCATGTGCTCGAATGAGAGAAGAAAAGATACGATATATGTCCATTTGAAGAAAAGACTCACTCGGCTTGGCCACGACATCGCTACTGGTAAAAAAGCGATCTCTTTTCTGTATGGCTGCTAAGCAAAAAAGCAAATGTGAACCAAAGGTGGAGACGGCAGCTTCTATCAGTGCTTTAAATGAACCTTAAATACTGATCGGTAAAGGAAGAATATGTTATTAAAAATTGTTCACAAGTTTCCAAGCACACTTAAAAACCTGTATTTTCCAGCTATATAGCATTTCTTGTGACGCAAGATGTCGCAATTTCCACTAAGAAAAAAAGTGAATCCATATCTTTTCTATGTGGCTTGAAGGTGATTTTACTTCTGGGTTTCGAAACAAATGTTCTATGCTGTGCTTCTTTCACAATTATGTATATTTGATGAACCCGATTGCCATGAGAAAAACGTGTTGTACAATGCTACCAGTCCTTACGCAGATCTGCCTTTATAATCATTCTAAATATAATTACCTATATAATGAAAAATTCTTAGACAAACATGCGATATCAATTTCATTTCTTTCATTCGATGACCCAGACAACCGACATAAGTCCTTCGGCTCGCGTCCCCATACGTTATATTCTTCTCGTCATGTCACTGTAGCATTGCGGCTGTATTTAGCCAAATGCGCGGAAATTAAACTACAGCGATTTTAACTCTACGACTGCTTCAATGAGGGCGTATATACCGAACCGGAATAACATTTCACAGCCACATAACTGTCTTGATAAACCTTCCTAACGTGTTCATGGGGGTTACTTGGTTCTACCTTCATGTATGATATTTTTTAAACATCACACCACTTCACAGACCACACCGAAATATATATGCTACCCATGTGCTCTTACATGTGTGGTCATTATCAGCATGTTTTTGAAAATGTTTTTTTATTTAATGTCATAGGTCAGTCCCAGCTATTTCTTTTTAAAAATTGAGCCATATATAGCGCTTCTTTGGAGTGGTGTCTGTAGCACTGCGTGTTCTCTCAAAAAAATTAACGAATGAAGTCTTCCTGGTTGTTATGTGATTCCACACAAGAGCTGATTACGGATAGCTCTCACGTTGAGCCTGCTCTGAGAGATTATTTTCTCATGATTTATATAAACAAGAAAATATAAGACATAAATAACACTGCTCCAAACAAAAACGTAAACAAACGTGAGACGTGCCTAATGACATCAGCCTAAAGTATAGAATGTATCGTAAAGCGCACATTCCTGCAACCTGAATGGGAATCCTATCCGCGACTCATTACTCCTCCGTTCTCTGTTTACCCAAGCCACCATTGCGCCAGCCTGTCTGTCAGTATTTGCCGTGCGCGTTCGTGAAGCGTGCCAGGATTCATTAGGAAGCCGACCTCGTGGTGTCCTTGCGACAGCCAAATGGGACAGTCAGCCAGGGACGGTGGATGCCCGTGACGAACTGCTTGGGCATCAGTCATGCGTGCGCCTAATTTCTTTGCCCCTTGCACTTACTGTTGTTGCGCGGTATTCCATTCTGCTTGTCCGACAAAATACCCCGGCTCGTCTGTCGAGAGAATCCCGGGCAATCAACGCGGGCTTGTCACGCGCAGGGTAGTGTGTCACAACGATACGCTTGTTCGCGTGCAGGTTTCACTTACGGAATTTCTCTTTTCCGTCACTCTCAACTTGTTGTCGCATAGCAGTTGTCTGTTGGCCCAAAATGTTAATCTGCTTTGCGTGCTATTAAGAAAATAGAGACAGCAGCTTAGTCTTCGTCGTGATGGTTGCGCAAAGTGCTGTGATATTTCTTGCGAAATAATGTCCCGGCTGTTTTGCATGCAGGAACGCATTCTGCAGATTATACCAGTGGAAGCCAACAAGGTGAAGCGAGTGTCGTTAAAGGGTAAAGGGAAATGTTCAGATTGCCTTTCTAAGGGCGAAGCTCCTTAGGGTGTAGGTTTGTCCATCCTCCGGTGGCACATACCCGAAAGAGCGGTCCTAAGAATATCTGCTGGATGGCGGCACTTGTATATGATGAATACATAATGAAGATATGTAAGATGGCTGTACTTCGAATGTTTACTAGATAGACGGACGGGTGGATGGACATACAGATAGACGGACGCACTGACAGACAGGGCGGACGCACACACAGACAGACAGAGAGACAGACAGACAGACAGACACACAGACAGACAGACAGACAGACAGAGAGGGATGGCCACACGAACAGACGCACGGACGGATGGAATGACAGCCGGAAGAACGGACGTACGGATGGACGTATGGAGGGACGCATGGCCGGACCGATGGATGGACACATAGACGAACGCATGGACAGACGAAAGCAAGAGCAAATGGGTGGACGAAAGCATGGATGGACTGACGAACGCTTCGCCCCACCAATCATCATTCACTCCGTGGATATACTGGCATTTTTTTTTATTGCCAAGAACCAGTGCAATTGCATGCGTATTTCACGGAAGCAATACTTTCTCGTTTACGAAAAAAGAAATGGTACGTTAGGTCAGTGTTTAAACGCTCGCTGTGTAATCCTGGCACGGTTTTGGTTGTTAGTGAAAATCGGCGTTGCCCAGAAGCGAAACATTGTGATGCATGGTTGGTGCAATGTATTTATAGCCCTGCAGGAATGTCTAACATGATTGCAGAAATCAGAAACTCAGGGAGGTCAAACAGAATTGCTATACAGCACTAAGGGAGAGGCGAAATGGGAAGAAAGATGAGAAACGAAACGGAGAAAAAAGTAGACGCATGAAAAAAAAGAGAGTGGGGGTGCTATAGCCCATTCATTAGGCCATGATGAAGAAAAAAACATCGCAGTATATCCACAGAATCAATGATGATGAGTGGGGCGAAGCGTACATCAATCCCTCCGCGCTTTCGTTCATTTGTCCGTGCGACTGTTCGTGCGTCGGTCCGTCCGTCCCTTCGTTCCGTGCGTCCGTTCATGAATCTGACCGTCCATACGTCCGTCCATGCGTCCATCCGTCCGTCTGTGCGTGCGTGAAACATACAGACAGACAGAAGATGGAAGGACGCGGCTAGCGGATGATTCACGGTTTGCTAATAAAACCCTCCTGAAACGTCACCCCCCTCATCATCATTCACTCCGTGGATATGCCCCAAGGTGATTACTACATGCATGCATACCTACAGGTGACGACCAACCCATGCGTTAAGGTGCTTCTCCCCTTAAATGTTTCATAAGGCCCTGACTGATTTTCTGTGCGAAGAGTCGGCATTCGAGCACTGACCGTTCTGACAGGGGTCTGTCGTCAAAGTGGGCTAACACAGCAGCTAGCAGCATTCTGTGCGCGCTGTAGCCAGTCCAGTGACACAACGTGCTTCATCGTTTCATCGCGGCAGCAATGACCAAAGCAGCACTGTCTTCCATGCCGATTCGGAAAGCATTAAATTTGGTAAAAGAGACCCCAAGCCACAGTCAGCAGAGTACCATTGTCTGAAGTCGAGATAATCCGAATGGAGACCGAAGTCGACTTGACGGGTTTAGTCCATGCACTCATGTGCGCCATTAACTTGCTGTAGTCAACAGAGATTATAGGTCTTTTCTAGCAATCTGTCTTAATTTCATGGCAGCATTAGTCCTTGAGAGTGGGATAGATTGTTCTACACCACGTTCGTGTGCCGATCGAGCAGCGGCGTCAGCATATTCCTTGCGCAATATGCCGCAGTGACT